ACTGATGACATCACGGGAGATTAAGGCCTGAACACCTGGGCCTCGATTGGTCTTGGAAGCCAGGGCCGAATCCACGGGTATCCCCGTGTGTGCCCGTGTGTGCGCATGTCCCTCCGGGTGCCTCTGCTGGGCACGAGCAACCTCACACTCCTGTTTCCTCTGCGCATGGGCGTGCGCGTGCACGTGTGTGTACAGCATGCACGTGCAGGACCGTGCCCACGCGGGCACTTCCTGTGCGTACCCAGCCCCGCGGGGGTCCCCGTGAGCGCGTGTGGGCAGCAGCCGGCCAGGGCGCGGGGGGGAGGCCGCGGCTGCTCGACGTTGCCGAGAGCTCCTAATTAAACAAAAATGTACACCGCGTACCACACTGTGCCCGATTCCTGGGAGTTTAATTAAAACAACAGCGCGGGAGGCGTGCGCGGGCTCCGCGATGAGCCGGCCGGGGAGGGGAGGCCCTGGCCGTCCAGATGGTTCCCCACAGCCAGGCCGCTGGCTCGGCCGGGGGTCCCTGGCCTGGGGTGGGGTCCAGAGCCCCGGGCCTTGGCGGGGAGGACGGGCTCCTGGTCAGCCCGACGACAGAGAGGACAGAGGACGCCCGGGTGGCCCAGGGTCCACTTTTCCCGGATTCCCAGGGACGGGCGGTTAACGGCCTCACAGCTTGTCCCTTCGCCACCGTGAGCGCCCACAATGGAGGCAGCTCTGCCTGTGCCCAGGGAAGGTCAGGTCAAAACTATCTGCTGGGCAGGGGGGTGGGGAGCGGGGAGGGCCGGGCTGGGTGGGCAGACTCCTCCCCCGCCCCTTCCTCCGCCCCCCAGCGGGACAGATGCGGATGAAACTGTGGGGCCTCTTGTTAGAAAATTATTATCGAGACTTTCCAGACAGCAAGGGAAGGACGTCAAACCCAACGCAGGGCCTTTCTGACGGCGGGGGGGACCTGGGTGACCATAGAGGTCACGTGTCTGTGAGGCCAGCCCCGTCTCCCAGCGTCATGGGACCAGGGTCTGGGATAAAGTGACGCTGGGGTCGCTATTACGTGTCCTCCCAGGTCTCCAATCTGGCCGTGACGCTGCTGCCCTGGAGGTCGTTAGAACAGCCTGTCCCTGGGAGCCACATGTGGGCGCCACCTCTGGCTAACGGCTGGCCGTGGCTCATACCCGTGGCTGGAACATCCCTGCAGGTGACAGGTGGAACCTACCCACCTAAGAGCTGCAGAAGGGCTGGTGGCAGCCGTCTCACGAAACCAGAATAACAACAGTAATGAAAAGAGAAGTAGAACTGACCGAGTGTGGCACGATGCTACTCTCTCTACCTGCACTGGTCACTCACTGGGTCCCCGTAATCACCCCTTGCGACGAGGATCACATTACCCTGCTTTAGAGACGTGAAAACTGTGGCTCAGAGAGGTTCATTAATTTGCCCAAGGTCACTCAGCTACAAAGTAGCAGCTGGGATTTGAACTCAGGCCCCGCTGCTAAAACCAAGTTGCCATGGAGAAGGTGGCAGACAGCAGCCGGGCAGGGGTTGGCGGTGAGGCTGGCTGAATGATGTTGTACAATTGGAAAGCAATTTCCTGGTGTCCCCAGAACACCTGAACAAGGCCAGTGGGCCCATGCACATGTGTAGGGAAGTGACAGGCAGCTTCTTCTGCCTGCCTGGCATCCACTGATCGATCCTTCACTCTTTTAGGGGAATCACCCCTTACTCAACTATCAACGTGGGTGACATACCCTTGCCTCCAGGGAACAATTTGGACAATCAGAATATATGTTCTTCCCCCTGGGCACAGGATCCAAGCTAACTGGGGGTTCGGGGAATACTACCAAAGATAAAGTCAATATGGAAGAAAACACAGCCAAGAGGAAGAGAAAGACTGAGCTCTGAGAACATTAAATGAGCCCCTGGATCCAGCTAAGCCTGAAGCCGGCTTCTCCACAGAATTTTAATTGTATGAACCAATTAATTCTCTTTCTTGCTTGAACCAATTTGAGTTGGATCAGCCTCTTGGAATCAGCAGAGCATGATGAGATGGTAAGTAGGATGACCGTCACCCCTTAACTCCTCTCTGTCCTGCAAAGGCTCAATAAATCCCTACCAGCAGGCTCTGGGCCCCGGCGGTGTTACGGGCTGGGGAAAGGAAATCAAAGTCCTCCTTCTCCCAAAATAATAAATCTAAAGCAGGAGGGTTTAGGGCCACCTTTAACGACTCCTTTGGTGTTTGTCCCCAAGTCCAGGCTCTAGTCCTCCCCCACCCGCCCGGGCGAGCCCCGTACCTCGGAGGACAGTGAGCTTGGCGTGGACTGTGATCTCCCCCACCGAGTTCTGGGCCACACACTCGTACACGTTTTCATCCCGGGGTGTCCTCAGCGGCTGGATCCTCAGCACAGCCCCTGCGCTCTCGTCAAATTCGATTGTCTGCCGTGGGCGGGGTCGGAGGGGAGGACAGGGTGAGGCTGGGGTCCCACCCAGGAAGGTTCCTGGCCAGGGCGGTCTGAGCGCAGAGCTGGAGGCCGTACGTGCATGTGTGCGGGTGGCCGGCACCAATGTGCTGGAGGCAGAAACTTGGCCTGGGTCCGTTGGATAAGCAAAGGAAGGGTGTCGTGTGCATGTGTCCAGGGGACAGGCATGCAAAGGCGTGCGGGACGTGGACACGTGTGTGTCTGATCACGTGTCTCGTGTGCTGTGTGAGCAGACTCAGAGACTTCAGGGCCCTGCTTGAAGCCACACAGCATGGAGACGGCACAGCAGGTAAGGCCACGTGGCAGGGAGGGAGGGAGGGAGGGAGAGACGGGCCTCGGCTGGAGAGGGTGCCCAGCCAGGCTTCCTGGGCCACCGCCACCCATGCCACACCTGGGGAGCGTGTCTGTGACACCTTCCGTGGCGGAGCCACTATGACCCTGTCTTGGGGGAGCACGGGCCCGAGTCTGCCTCCCCCGGGGTGGACTCACCTCAAAGCGCTGAGAGTTGACCTTCTTGCCCTTCTTGTTCCAGGTCACCCGTGGCTTGGGGTCGCCCGTGGCCTGACACACAAAAGAGGCCACGCCCCCTGACACGCCGATCTGGTCCTTGGGTTCTTTGATAAACCTGGGGGGCTCTGGGGATACAGCAGGAAGACGGGGCTGGGGGTGCTCTGGTGGGTCCCGGCATGTGGCCAGGACCCCACGGAGCCACGCAAACATGCCCTCCAGCCCCCCGTCCAGCCACAGGGGGACCACGTGGGGCCAGCAGAGGGGCTGGAGAGAGGAGGAGGGGACAGAAGACACGATCCCCGCCCCTCCCCACGGCATCCACGGGCACCCAGGTGCCTATACGCCCCTCCGCCCCCACCTGGGTAAAACGAACTTTATATGTGGGGAAACTGAGGCACAGACCAGGCAAGGCACTGGCTTTGCTTGGATATAAACACAACTGAACAAGCCCATTGCAGCCAGGCCGGCTCTGCACCCCACCCCCACGACGACAATGACTCCTATTCATTCTCTCCAAGAAAGGCTCAAGCGGGAGATACTGTATCTTTTCACACCCTAGAGCAGCCTCGACCACCTGCACCGGGCCAGGCTACACAGTGTCTAGCAAGAATCCATTAACACTGTTTACTCTGTATCGAATATTTCTACAGTAACCTTTGAATGGCCCAAAGGGATACAGGACTGCCCTTCGCAGTAACGTTACAGTGTAGCCCGTGAGATGAATGGAGCCACTTAGGAGATTTTTATCAACAGACACGAGGGCTGGGGCAGATTTACGAGATCGCCCAGGAAGCCATCTGTATCTCCCACAAAAGGGGCCTGCATGAAGGCAGGGCAATGCCACGTGACCACACGGAGGGCCAAGGATGCTTTTTAAATGAACTACTAGGGAAGGAACGAGATACGCTATTTAAATAAGAAAAAAAGGAAGGGGTAAGTGTAGCAAATGCTACTGTTGTCTGATAACAAAAATAAAAGAGGCTTCGAACTTCAGTACCTCTTTTAGACAGAGAACTGAAGATACGTTATTTTCAGAAATAAAATTATTTGAATTAAAAAAGCTGATTAAAGAAAAAGCCAAAAACAATTTTTTTTTAAAGGAAGTAAAAGTTTGGGGTCTGAGGACAGGCACAGGTTGAACAACTTAAACTTGAGCGACACTGGGTGCCTGAGCCTCTAGGATTGGCTAGAAACGGGTAGAGTGACCACACGGGCCATCGTTCACCCCAAAAGTTCTGGCTGTTCAGAAATAAAGAGAAGCTCGGGTTTCCAAATCTGGGTCCCCACAGGCCCCCCAACTCCTCCCGCCCACGGCTCAGGCTGGGTTTTGAAGAAAACAGAGTCCCCGTCCCCAGTGGTGAGATCTGCCTCACCTCCTTCATTAAAGGCTCTGCTCCTGTTGATATGACCATATGTGTCTGCATGGGCTATCTCGCTCAAAAACTGGCAGACCCACTGTGTACAGGCACGTGTGGTCTCACTCAATTCTTGTGTATCCCTCTGAGGCAGGGATGGTTAATCACACTGCGCAGATTCAGGGACGTTAACGGGCTTGCAAGGGGTCACGGAGCTCAGAAGCGACAGCACCAGGATTTGAACCCGGGGCTCTGTCTGCGAGCCCACGTCTTATGCTCCTGCCACACCCAGGTCTGGAGCCGGATTCAGGGCAGATGTTTTGCTCCACACTGAGCCTGCAGCTGGGCCTGCCTGCCTGGCTCTCACTGTCCGCGTCGCCCCTCCTTCTGGCCTCAGGAATGGTGACCCAGGGCCATATGTGTCCTCGGGCCAAGGACATGGAGAAAAGTCACCGTGGCCGGGTGAAGAATCTTACTTCTGGTAAAACCCTCCCTCAGGAGCTGCTGGAAGGAAGGGCAGAAGCTGCCTGTTTACGACCCGGAGCCAGAGCACACCCCTGCACCCTCCGATCCAGCGAGCCCGATGGGACCGGAGCTGGACTCAGCCCCGGTCTGCGCCGTCCCTTCCTCCCGGAGTCCTGTCCTCCTCCTTCCAGCTGGCAGCCTCGGCTGGGCCAGCACCTCCCCCGGGGAGCCTTCTCGGATTACTGCAGGCGGGGTCAGGAGGGACATCGTCCCCACAGCTGCCTGGGCGTCCCCCGCCAAGGCCCTGACCACACTGGGCTGAAATACCTGGTTACGTGGCACTTGGCAGGAAGGGTACAAAGCAGCCCTGATTCCCTGGCACCCTACCCTTCCCGTGTCTGGTGACCCTTGGCAAAATGGCACGCTCGACCTTGCTGCCCCTTGTTCCTGGCCTTGGAGGGGTTATACCTTCCCCAAGCCCCCCCTCTGCCCAGCGGTTGCCATCTCAGTCTTCTCTGGGCGGCTCTGAGATCCGAGCCAGCCGGGAACAGCTTTCTCTGGCCTAGAGGGGGGTTCAGCACTATCCTCACGCCTGTGTCACAGAGAAGCAAAATCAAGGCTCAGGGAGATTAAGTGACCTGCTCTCGGTCACACAGCTTGTGATGGGCAGAGCTAGGATGGCAACTGAGTCCCAGCCAGCTCCAGTGAGCCAGAAGCAATGCATGCTGGACAAACGGGGTTGCGGGTCTTTATCAACCACAAGTACTGGGGGTGTCCCTGTTTCTCAGATGAAGAGACTGAAGTTCAGAGTGGTGATGCCAACGTCAAAGAAGCTGGGAAGAGAACTCAGATCTTTCTGGATGCTGGGGCCTGAGTCCTCCCTCTCCGTGGCCTGGCTTGGCCTGATTTCTGTTTTTCCATTTCAGATACTGCAGAGAAGAATCCGGTGCCAGAGCTGGTGACCCTCCCACTCCGTCCCCTCCAACCCCGCCCGGGCTGGCCCACAGCATCCCGGGAAGGCCCCAGCGGACCAGGAGCTGTTTCTAGAGCAGATACCGGTCCCCTTGGTGCGGCTGGTGAAAGCTTCGGCTGCCGCAACAGCCGCCTCCCTTGTGCTCCCCAAGGACCCAGGCCACCTCCTGCAGCCATCGGTGCCAGCCACGATGTCCACAGCCCCCTGCCAGGCCCCAGGTGACAGGGCTCCTGCTGAACAGACCCACCTACAGGTGGTCAAGATGCCCCAGCCTTGGAGATGGGTGACCTGGGTTTGAGTCAAGGTCACCACCGACACCTGCAGCCATACGGGAGTAATTACAGAGCCCACCGAGCGAGTCTCCAGCACATGCCCGGTGCCAATATCCTGGGTCATACCTCCCTCATCACTACCTAGACCAGTGAGGTTGTCTCTGCCCTTGGCCCCTAGAGCCCATCCTCCTCAAGGCAGCAGCCAGAGAGCACCTGTGAGCACCCAAGTCAGGGCCTGTCTCTCCTCTGCCTACAGCCCTCCATGGCTCCCACCTTCCACTGGGTCAAAGCCCAAGTCCTCCCCCGTCCCCTCCCTGCCCTTCCCTTCTCCCTCTCTCCCCTTCCTCACTCTGCTCCGGCCATATGGGCCACCTGGCTATGCCTCCAACACACCAGGCACATTCTGCCCCAGGGCCTTTGCATGGGCTGTGCCCTCTGCTTGGGACACCTTTCCTCCAGACACTCACGAATTCCTCTGGGTCTCTGCTCAGATGCCACCTCCTCACTGCAGCCACTCCCCCACACCCTCATCTCCCTGGCGCACCCACCACCCAACACACTTAGGCATCTCCCCCTCACTGGACATCAGCTCTGGAAGGGGGTGGGATGTGTGTTTTGCCTCCTTTGCCTAAAATAGCACCCAGCACCCAGTACGTGCTTATTAAAAATCTCACTGAACACACAAGGGCCAAGACCTACCAAGGTTCGAAGTCAGGCTGAGAGTGTCTCCAAATTCTGTGACCTCCACTTTGCAGCCTCAGTTTCCCCACCTGTAATAGGGACGTGCCCAGCTCCAGGGCTCCTGAGGCCTCACTGCGATGACAGATACACATGATGTCCGAGGCAGATCACTATCACTGGGCCACGAGGTTAAAGTAGTAACTTCTGTTACTTATTCAACCCGCGCAGGTTAAATGAGTGCTTCTCACCTGGGGGTGAGACGAGGTTGTCTGGAGACATTTTTGGCTGTCACGGCTGGGGCTGGGGTACTAATGGCATTGAGTGGGTGGAAGCCAAGGCTGCTGCTAAATGTCCCGCAATGCACAGGACAGCCCCCGGCACACAGAGTGACCCGGCTGCAAATGTCCACAGTGCCAAGGTGAATGAATGAACGAATGAAAGAAAGAAAAATTAAATGTGCTCAGCGCCGAAGGCCTGCCATTCCCACCGCAGGGAACAGAGCCCAGGAAGGCACAGGCCCTGGGGCTGGCCGGACAGATCAAGGCCCGGGCACACCTGGTTGCTGGCCCCAAGGCGGGATGGTGGGTGGGAACCCAGGCTCCGGCATGAGGAGGCACGGGTTCAAATCTCGGCATGGCCACTTCCTGGCTGTGACTTAACCTCGCTGTGCCTCAGCTTCCCCAGCTGTACAATGGGGATGATGATGATAGCACTGACCTCACCAGATCGTGGTGGCTGATCTGCATGTGTAAGGCATGAAAACAGCACGAAAACAAGAAAAAGCACAAACGCACGAGGCAGGGGTGTGTGCTGCGGCGTCGGCAGCAATACTGCTTATGCTCGTGGCAACGCGGGATCTCAGGCCTGCTACGTGCCAAGCGGCAGGCAGGGGCTTATTGCACATCCTCGTTACAAGAGTGCTGGGATGTGGATGATGTCACGTGCCCTGTTACAGCAGGTCACTAGCCCGAGGTCACACAGTCACTAGCCTGAGGTCACACGGCAGGTCTGCGGCAGTGCCGGGATTCAAACCCAGCCTGACTGGGAAGCCCCGTTTCTTTCCCTATTGCCCTGACCCCCATGTCCCCATGGGCCCGAGTGATGCCTCCTTTAAGTCCCTCGCGGTGGGGTGGATCTTCACATTGGGCCCCAAACTGACTCTCATCCTCCATGTTACAGTCAGAAATGCAGCCTTGCCCACCTCTAAACTATACCAACTCTTTCACCTCTAGGCCTTTTCCATGTGCTGTCACCCCCATCAGGAATGCCTTTTCCATCAGCAAACTCCTACACGCCCGCAAAACCCCAGCCCCAATGCCCTTTATCCCGAGAAGCGTCCCCTGCCTCTGCCTGGGGAAGTTTGTCTGCCCTTGTGTCTGCCACCAGGTGCTGGTGTTTCTGTCTGCTGCAAGGGCAGGTGAACTCTGCGGCTCACTGAGGAGTGAGCTCAAGCAAGTCCATTACGTCCTTTGAGCCTTGTTTTCTCTCATCGGGAAATGTGGAAGGGAACCAAACCGGTATACTGGGTTTTGTGAGGCTCAAGGGACACGAAGCAGGTAGAGCCTGTGCTTAGCACTGAGCCTGGTGCAGAGTGGATGCTGGGAAAACAGACATCACCGTCATCATTACTGTTACTGCTCTATTAATAGCATCATATTGTTTATCTCTGAGTCTCTCGGGGCCCGGCGCACAGCAGGCACTCTGCTTCATTCACGAGCACAGAAGCCCCATTTGGCAAGATGAGGTGCCCCAGGGAGGAGGTGGGGCCGTGTGCTCACACACACACCCGCACACGCACCCGCGCACCCCGCGCACCCCGCGCCGGCCTCTTACCTTCTCCTGTGCAGCCTCCAACCAGCAGGACTACGAGGAGACCCACGGGACCAACCACAGACGCCACGCCAGGGCCCCAGGCGGGTGCCATGCTTGGCAGCGACCTCCGACCTCCGCCCTGGAGGGGGATGGCCTCCCGGGTCCCTCACAGACGGGCCTGGAGCCGAGCGTCAAATGGGGCAGCGTCTGCAGAGACAACGGGTGGCCGTGAGAGGACAGTGAGGAAAGCCAGGGACCTTCATGGAGGCGGCGGCGGGAGGGCCACAGAGGGGCGCGGGGGACGGGTTCGGGGGGTATGGTCACAGAACGATGGGGAAGTGTCATGGGGTAACGGATGGACTGAAAGCGTCAGCCCCTGCTAGGGAAGGAATATTTGTGTCGCCCCCCAAAAATCTATCTGTTGAAACCTGATCCCCCGTGTGTTGGCATTAGGAGGTGGAGGGGTGGGGGGTGATCAGGTCGCGAAGGTGAGCCCTTGCGAATGGGATCAGTGTCCCTCCTCATAAAGGAGTCCCCAGACAGCTCCCTTGCCCCTTCTGCCACCTGAGGGCACGGTGAGAAGACGCCATGCACGAACTACAGACGGCCCCCGGCACACACCAAAGCCCGGCACCCTGACCTCAGACTGCCGAGCCCCCACAACGCTGAGACACACGTTCCTGTCGTTCGTAAGCCACCGTGTCCGCGGCATTTTGTTATCGCAGCCCAAATGGACTAGGGCGGCTCCCGAACTCCAGCTAAGCCTCAGTTCTGGGGGAGCCTGAGCCCCACAGCCTAAGTCCCCAACCCCAGGCTGTGCCCCTGACTCAGCCCGAGACCCGACCCAAGATGAGCACTTCTGGGGGGGGGGGTGCTCTGAACCCTCAATTCTTCAGGGAGGAGGAGACTCCAGTCTGCTGCTGCTTGGCCCCATAACCTGGCCCCTCCGGGTCACCAGATGGGTCCTTCCCACACACCCAACCTGGGCCTGCCCTGCTCTAACGCCTCCCATGGCTCCCGGAGCCCCCAGGGGAAGCCATTCCAGCTGATCTCACCTCCTCTTCTGACTTGGGGGCTCGACCGTGCCGGCTGAGCTCAGTCCCACCTCCGAGCCTTTGCCTCCACTGGGCCCTGTGCCGGGAATACTGCCCCCCACCACGTGACAGTCTCGGCTCAGCTGCCACTTCCTTGGGAAACCCTCTCTGCCGCTTGAAGGTCAAGTCCCCCCACCCCCACCTCCCCTTCACAACCCGGAGCATCAGAAATGACTAAGATCACCTGGCGTGGCACCTACCCCGGTTCCCAGATTAAACGAGACTGTGAATCAACCAGCATCTGTTTCTCCCACAAGAACCTCGACTCTCCCAGGGCAGAAGGTCCCTCGTCGCCCATCTTGACCTCTGGACCTGCCCCCTCCCCGTCTCCCCGATCTCCTCTTTGGCCCGAGCCACGGCAGCGGGCCAGGGAGGGGCCGGAGGAAGAGGTCTTTGTGGCCCGGCCAGGCCTGCGCCCACCCCAGGTCGTGCCCTGGGTGGGTCGAGGCTGCAGCCACGGGGACCGGTGCCACATAATGACGGGGCAGTCCCTGTGATTCTGGTTCCCGAAATACCCAGCTGCGGTCACCTCGCCCAGCCCTGGGGCGGCCTCAGGGGAAGGCTGGGCCGGTGGTGGCCGGGTCACAGCCCAGGGAGAGGAACGGGGTTGAGAGGATCGACGTGCACACAGTGGGACCAGACGTGGAGAACGATGCCTGCAGCCAGGCCGCCGACACACAGTCAGACCACAGGCAAAGAGGGAGACCGGACGTGGACACGGACGCATTCACGTGGGCAACAGAGATGGGCGTGTGCACACCTGCACACAGTAGGGCAAACACTGCACACAGTCAGCCCACAAACAGACACGCACAAAATCAGGCCGTAAAGACACACCAAGTCACGACAAGATACACACGCGTGGTCACAGCTGGGCAGGCAGTACACGTACACGGTTGGGCCCCGGGCAAGTGCTATTACGAACCTGCGGTCGATGCGGTCGGAGTAGGTAGCTACAGGTGCACACACAGGCAGACGTCGCACACGCACAGTGAGACCACAGACAGGCCGCGCGCTCGCAGACCACACGTGCACGGGCCACGCGACACATACAGACGTGCAAAGTCAGGTTCCCTTCCTGCTCACACGTGCACACAGCCAGGCTACGGGACAGGCACACGCAGTCAGACCACAAACACGCCTTGGACACCGCCACCCGGGGACCGGGCAGATGGAGAAAATGGAGCCAGGGCACTGTCCCTCATCCTGGTCCCCCACCCTGGCCCTTTAAGAGCAAAAGTAGCCAACGAGGAGGGCGGTGACCTCAGAGGGAGAAAACAGCCCACGGCCAGCTGGGGCCAGGGTGACCGCAGCGGTGGCCCCACCTGCAGATGCGCATCCGCCTGGCTACGCGGTGTAGGGGGTGGTCACGCCCAAACCACTTGAGTCAGATGGGCGGGCCCTCCGAGAGCATCTGGAGAAACTGAGGCAGCCTAGCAAGCCGCAGCCCAGAGGGCAGGGGTGGAAGTCACCTGCACGGAGGGTCCTGGGAGAGGGGAGGAGATGCCGCCGACAGAGAAGACAAAAAGTTCCAGGGTCCGTTAGGCGCCAGTCCTGCCAGGGCAGGGGCGGGACCCTGCAAGCCCCTGACCCTCCCACCTCCTCCTGCTTCCAGGAAGTCCCTGGGTGGGGGGTCTTATTGCAGGGTTCGGGGGAGGATCCCCAAGTCCCATCAGCTCTGCCTTCAGAACCTATCCCGAATCTGCCGCTTTTCACCCCTTCCTCCAACCCCACCTGCTCCAGCCCATCACTGACCACTGGACCAACACGGTCCCCTCTGTCCTGGCCTCCCAGCTCTGGCCCCAGACACTCAGTCTGTCCCACCCAGACAGTCAGAAAACGCCTGTGGGCACCTGAGTCAGGGCCCCTCCCTCCTCTGCCCACAGCCCTCCATGGCCCCCACCTCCCTCGGGGTCAAAGCCCAAGTCCTCCCTGGGATCCATCAGGCCCTGCAAGACCTGCCCTGGCCCCTCCCTGCCCTCCCCTCCTTCCTTTGTCCCCCTCCCCCCCACTCTGCTCCAGCCACAGGAGCCTCCTTGCTGTGCCTCCAACACACCAGGTGCAGTCCTGCCCCAGGGCCTTTGCATGGGCTGCTCTGGGATTTAATGTTATTATTACTAATCGGCTGAAGACTAAGGGCGAATGTGAATGGGGGGTGAAGGTATCTCTGCACAGGAAGGTTCTAGAGGTCCCAGGAGGGAGACGGTAGAGATGAGGGCAGAGGGGCATGTTTGAACGAGACCCACAGGGCAGCGAGGGACACTGTCGGGTTGGCACCAGACCAACCTTCCACCATGCCCCTGTTGCAACTAAAGTGGCCCAGGCCACCAGCCCTGCCGCTGTCAGTATGGGGAAAGGAAGGTGGCTGCAGCAAGCTGCAAGCCCCCAGGAGGTGGTGTGGCCATTAGCAGTGAACGGCTGTCCCTGGGGACTGCAGGAAATGACAGGTACCAAATGGGGCTGGGTGGGTGGTGGGGAGAAGGAAGGGAGCGGCCGCTGGACCTGGAGCCCAGGGAGGGTGCCCACCCACCCCGCCTGTCACACGCTGAGCTGTCCACCTTGCACAGACCAGGAAACTGAGGCTTGCAGAAGAGCCGGAATTTGCCCCACCACGTGGCTGTGTCTTTCTGCAGCTGCTGTGTGATGTCAGGAAAGCGGATGACCCTCTCTGGGCCCGGTACACCCTACTGAGCCGCCTCTGGGGGCTCCCATGCTGCGCTCGCTGGGGGCGAGTGGGCACTCATTCCAGCCAGGCGCCGGGGTGTGGGTCACGCGATCCCAGAGCCGGCTTTGTGTGCCCACGCGGTCCAGGGAACATAAAGGGGTGATTATAACCCGGGGCTGGGCAGCAAACAGGCTGTCTCACCCGCACGAGGTGGGTCTCATCGGGCAGAGGAAGTGCCTCTCCCAGCCCTATCTCCGGCTGTGGGGTCTGTCTACCCTGTCCTGGGGGCTCATCTGCCCAGTCCTGACTCCCTGGGGACCTCCCACGGCCCCAGGGCAGGAGAAGCTGAGAGAGGCACAGGAGAAAGACCCCCAACCGGGCACGACCTCCTCACCCTCAACCTCCCCCACCTGCAGCCCCACTTCCCGGGCCTCGGAGCCCCTCCAGGGCAGGACCCGGGCCTTCCCGGACCCCCGGGTCACTCACGTGTCGAGCCAAGCAGACAGCAGGCGAACCCCCTTAGCCAGTGAGCCCCCAGCCTGGGCTCCAGCTCTGCGGCCGCTGGTGGACCAAGGTGGCTCTGGCCAAGGCCCTGTCCCTCTCCAGGCTTCAGTGTCCCTCCCCCCAGGAAACAGCTCAGGGTGGGGCTGGGTGGGGCTGGCCCTGCCCCCTTCCCAGAACTGAACTGACTATGGATTGGTATTGGGAGGACACGCAGGCTCAGGGTGCTGTCCCCAAGGGTCCTGGGGACCAGGAGTGGACGGTTGGGGCAGACGGAGACCCAGGCCCGGCCCCAGAAAGGGAAACCATTACCGTCCGCTGGGGTCCCCCTGGGTGCCGAGCCCCGCTAAACGCTCCCCGTCCTTCCTCCTGTTTAGCAGACGAGGAAGCAGCCTTGGAGGGCAGCCCCCGAGGGTCAGGCGTGGAGGAGGGGGCTGGGATTTGAGCCCGGAATTCCTGTGTCCGACGTACCCAAGCTACCGAGCTCACCCGGCCAGCGACCATGTCCCCCAGGCTGGCTTCGGGGAACAGCGTGAGATGCCAAGATGGGGGTGCGCCCTTGCTCTGCTCGCACACCCACCGGGGCTCCCAGCTGCCCTGCCTGGCATTCGGGGCCCTTCGCGACACCACCCTCTGCCGCCCGCTTCCCGCAAGGCACTGCCGTTCCCAGAATGCACTGCCTCAGGCCTCGGAGCCTTTCTCAGTGCGGGGTCCCCCAGCAGGTGCACCCTTCCGCGGCTGGCCCACCTGTCAACTCATCCTTCGAGCCGCAGCCACCCAGTCCCCCAACCCCCAGCTGAGCCCAAGTCCCTGTGAATTCCTGCCCCCACCCTGGGACCCTTCCTTGGTCCAGCCTTGCTTCTCCTCTGCTCTAAAACCCTCCACGGC